GGATGTCTCAGGCGAGGGCGCCGGTTTGGGATTCGTCACGGATCCAGCGGATCCAGCGGATCCGTCCGGAAACGGTGCCGGAGGCCGCTCTGGGCTCCTCTGGGCATCCCCCCCGGGGCCCGTTTTGTGAGGATGTCTCAGGCGAGGGCGCCGGTTTGGGATTCGTCACCGGATCCAGCGGATCAAGCGGATCCGTCCGGAAGCGGTGCCGGAGGCCGCTCTGGGCTCCTCTGGGCATCCCCCCCGGGGCCCGTTTTGTGAGGATGTCTCAGGCGACGAGGGCGCCGGTTTGGGATTCGTCACCGGATCCAGCGGATCCAGCGGATCCAGCGGATCCAGCGGATCCGTCCGGAAACGGTGCCGGAGGCCGCTCTGGGCTCCTCTGGGCATCCCCCCCGGGGCCCGTTTTGCGAGGATGTCTCAGGCGAGGGCGCCGGTTTGGGATTCGTCACCGGATCCTGCGGATCCAGCGGATCCGTCCGGAAACGGTGCCGGAGGCCGCTCTGGGCTCCTCTGGGCATCCCCCCCGGGGCCCGTTTGTGAGGATGTCTCAGGCGAGGGCGCTGGTTTGGGATTCGTCACCGGATCCAGCGGATCCAGCGGATCCAGCGGATCCAGCGGATCCGTCCGGAAACGGTGCCGGAGGCCGCTCTGGGCTCCTCTGGGCATCCCCCCCGGGGCCCGTTTTGTGAGGATGTCTCAGGCGAGGGCGCCGGTTTGGGATTCGTCACCGGATCCAGCGGATCCAGCGGATCCAGCGGATCCGTCCGGAAACGGTGCCGGAGGCCGCTCTGGGCTCCTCTGGGCATCCCCCCCGGGGCCCGTTTTGTGAGGATGTCTCAGGCGAGGGCGCCGGTTTGGGATTCGTCACCGGATCCAGCGGATCCAGCGGATCCGTCCGGAAACGGTGCCGGAGGCCGCTCTGGGCTCCTCTGGGCATCCCCCCCGGGGCCCGTTTTGTGAGGATGTCTCAGGCGAGGGCGCCGGTTTGGGATTCGTCACCGGATCCAGCGGATCCAGCGGATCCAGCGGATCCAGCGGATCCATCCGGAAACGGTGCCGGAGGCCGCTCTGGGCTCGTGCTCTTCGCGCCGGGGGTGAGGATGACGTGAGTTCCACAGAAACTCCCTCAAATTAGTAGGAGGGGTAATACTAGGAGGAGGGGTATAGGAATCGTAGTACGGGTAGTAGTAGGGGTAGGATACGTAGCGGAAGTAGGGGTAGTGGTTGGAGTAGGACGAGAACATTACGCAAAAACACAATACAGACATACGATCTGAAAGCATTACGCAAAACAGATAGTAGGAGCAGCAGGAGTAGCAGGAATACTCGGAGTAGTAGCCGTAGGAGTAGAAGTAAAAAGTAGTTGTAGGAGTAGTTGTAAGAGTCGAAGCAGGAGGAGTAGCAGGAGTCGGTGTCGGAGTCGTGAGGAGGAGGAGGAGGAGGAGGAGGAGGAGGAGGAGGAGGAGGAGGAGGAGGAGGAGGAGGAGGAGGAGGAGGAGGAGGAGGAGGAGGAGGAGTTATAGTAGGAGTCGGGGCAGGAGCAGGAGTCGTAGTCGGAGTGGAGTGGGAGTGGGAGTAGTAGTAGGAGCGCAGTAGGCTGCAGGAGCCGTCCCGAGCTGTCCTGGCAGAGCTCCCGCACTGTTCCAGGAGATTGCAGATGATTCCTGGCGACGCGTCAAGATGAGCCCATGACGGCCCTGAGAGTTGGCGCAGCAGGGCCCCAAGAGAATCCCCAGAGGACAGAACCATTTACCATCACAACAACGAAGTGTCAGAATGCGAGCATGCGACATCTGTTGGCTCAACTCCGAGAGAGCATGTATGAGCCGTGGAGCGCTCAGAAGGGCCCCCAAAGGGCTTCCCCCTTACCTTCCTTCTGGGGAGGTTCCTGGGCATCCCAGCAGGCTCCAGGAACCAACGATATGGCTCAAGTGGTGGCCAACATGTCCCGACAAGGTTCACGTACGACACCAAGAGAGCCCCAAAGGGTTTCCGACACTCGAAGGGGGCCCCACCCAGACGTGCAAGTCTAAATTTGGACATTCACTGCCTTTTATGATGGTCACAAAACGGTTCCGGGGGCGCCACTGAGCAGCCAAAGGAGCCCCAAGATGCCCCCAATAGTGTCCCAGGACTGCGAGCCCAAGGGGGCTTCTGGAGGAGCTCAAGACGGCCCAAGAAGGCTCCCAAAAGGCCCCAACATGGCCCATACGCATCCCGAGATGTCTAACTATGCAAGCCTCTAAGACAGCCTCTCAAGATTCAAAGAAGGTCCGGGGTGGCACATAATGGCCCCGAGAGGGCCACATGACGGGCCCACAGGGCCCAGATTGTAGCTCCGAGATGGCCGCACGAGCGCCCCACGACGGAGGAGGAACACCAGGATCTGTTCTGCGCGTGGTCCGCGTGATCCCTTCTACGCTTCATGCTGTCGGCATAATGACCAGGAGCTGTGACGTCAGGTCCGACCAGCTAGACTCTGAGGGCTCGATGCAGGCATCCGCGCTGAATCACATTCATCAGTCCTTGTCTTCTCCCGCTTGGTTTGCGCCAGGTTCGCTACTTCCGCAGCAGCTTCCAGCTGTGTGCATCGTGCGTGGCTCAGAGCAGCCCTGCCCGCCTTCCGCGCAGACTTCCCCTCACCCGTGGCGTGCGGGCGCGGGAAGGCTGCCCCAAAGACTTGTCGGGGAGCCCCCCTGCCCGTACCCTTCCACGATTGAGTTCATTGTAAGGGCCCATGAGGGTTCCCACCCCTTTCCCTCCTTTTGCAGGGTAGCAGCCCGTGGGCGGTTCGTAGTCGACTCTGGCCGTTCCCTTCATGGCGCCCCTTCTTGCAATCCTTTCTTCTCGTCCCCCCCTTCTGCTTGCCAGCACGATGCCTCCGATGCGCCAGCGGGTTGCAGCCGGCAGCGCACCGTCTAGCAGGGACATTGTCACGATGATCCGTCCACCCCTGTGGACACGTGCACAACACAGAAAGTCACAGCGAGAGTCAGGCCTCACACTAGCCGACCGCTGAAGCTGTGGAGGGTAGGCGAGGCACGACCTTCTTCTCGCCGTCACGCTCACCTCCCCGCCTCCCGCTCGTCCTTCTGCTACCGCCATGCTGCCATTCTTGATGCACGTGACGCGGCCGGCCTGGGCGAGAGCGGGATACACGCGCGGCCACACGTGTCTTTCCAGCGCTCGGCCTTTCGTGTGGTCAGGCACGGTGGTCCTCCACCCGCGAGTCTGCCACGTGGCCTCCAGACGTTCACCGCGTGGATCCCGCCGCGCATGTTCCCAGCTTCCTGGTGCAGTCGTCACCCAGAGGGTGCGCAGAGCCTGCCGTCGTAGGAGAACCACTTGCTCAAGCCTCAGCCGCCAGGCCGCCCCACCCGCCATCCTCCTGCTCCTCCTCCTCCTCCTCCTCCTCCTCCTCCTCCTGCCGTTCCATGCGAACGCTATCCTTGCCACCGCCCGGTCCGCCTGCACCTACCACATAGCCGAGGAGATGGCTGGTGAGCAGGATGGCCGTGCTCCCCCGGCCCCCCCAACGCTTCGAGGCCCGCGAAGCGGCCTTGAGCAGAATGCCAGGTGCCTGCGCGCTTCTTCCCCCTTCCGCCTGGCGCAGCCCAGCCACGCAGCTGGTCGAGGCCAGAGCGCTGCGCCAGTCGTCATCGGACCCATCGAGGGGTACCAGCGCTCCCCCTTTGCCGCTCCCCGCGGCACGATCGCGCCGCGCAGACTCCGTGCCCCTCCTGCGGGGGCGTCCAGGACCATGAGCCGGGGGGGGCTGGCAGAGCGAACGCCGGTTCCACTGCAGTCAACCCGCATAGTGAGGATGGGCAACCTTCCCAAGGGTACCCTTGCATCCTTGCCTCCTCGGTCCATCCTTCGCCGCTTTTGCTGGCCGCGCCACGCTCGAATTGCTTCGAGGTGGGCGTCCAAGGCCCTTGCATCCTTATCGCGCATCCTTACTAAACTGGTTGACTGTACCCATGATATGGAGGGTGCTGACTCGCAGCCAGGGGGGCCAGCAGGCGGAGAGCTGCTGGCAGAGCTCAACTAGGGGGGCCCCCGCCATGAGATCCACCCGCCCCAGTCAGCCCCGGGGGGGGGATGTCATGGCGGGGGTCATGGTACCTCCTCAGATTTCATGGCCTTCTCTTCTTTCAATACCTCCTTTGCCTCCCCCCCACTCCCCCAGTGTGCCGTGCACTTGCCTCCAGCCATGATTTGCGACCCCTTTCTTGGACGGACCCTTCTTGGACCCAGCCACGCAGGGTGGGACAGGGGGGATTGCTTGCCTCTTGGAAGCACCCCTGCTTCTCAGAAGACGTTGGGCCCTATCTCAGAAGGCGCTTGGGCCGGCGCCTTTTAAAGAAGCAGCCTCCTTTTCAGAAGCTCCCCCCTACCTCCACCTTTTTGAGCGCCTCCTTCTTGGGCGCCCCCTCTTGCGAGCCCTCTCCTCTCTGGCCACCCTCTTGGCTGCCCCCGCGCCCTCTCGGCGGGGCGGGCTGCTCTGCGGTCGGCGCCGCGCTTGCAGCGCGCGAGTGCGAGCCTGTCCCGGTCCATGGGCGGCGCGCCCGGGGGGGGGGGAAGGTCGACTGGGTGTAAGAGTGACTCTTCGCCAGAGTGACCTATGGTGCAAGCTCATCGGGGTCCTTCCGATCGCCGAGTAAGCGGCGACGGCAGCGGCCTGCGCGCCTGGTGGTGGTCCCCCCCGAGGGGCCCCTCTTTGGCCGCGCACCAGAGGTCGCTCTTGCCCCGGGGTCACGCCTGCGTGTCGCCGAGACGGGGAGGAGGAGCAGGCCTTCCCAGATCAGAGTGCGACACTTACGGCAGGTTCGCGTCGTGTCGACCAGCGGCGGCTCCGCCGGTGGCGTTCAGCGTTGGACGCCGCTGGCGACCCAGAATAGGTCGATGTTGAACGATCGGACGTTTCGGAAATTGCCGATCGTTCAAGGTTTAGCGATCCCCGCGGTGTCGGGAACCAACTCCAGGGCCTGCCGTACCGATACCCGATACCGCTGCCCTTCGCCCGTTATCCCTCCTGGGAGGCCCTCGTCGCCACGGTTGGGTTCGCCCCGAAAGTCCTGGGCAGAATGCACCCCGAGAGAGGTCCGAGAAGCAGCGGGATCGGTGCCTCTTGGTGCAGGCGGCGGGGCTGCTCGGAAGCCTTTGGGCCGTCTGAGAAGCTTTCGATGTCTTCGGGGAGGGCTTGGGAAACTTCCCAGAAGGCTCAGGCCTTCGGAGCCTTCCGAGGAGGCCCGCACCCTCTTCAGGAGGGGAGAAAACACACAGACACAATTAATCGTCGATCCCCAGGAAAATATGGGAAACTCTAGGAAGTGAGGGGGAAGACAAAAACCCAGAAACTGTGGGAAGATATGGGCCATGGGGAATCCTGTTATGTGTGTGCGTGTGTGTGTATTTATTTATTTGTGTGTCCCAGAGCCCCTTCACTCCTCGCCTCCCCCCCCGGGGCTCGCGACGCCGAGGCAGGGCGCCCCAAGAATGCAGGCGAGGGCGAGCCGAGAAGGAGGCGCGCTCTGGCCTCCGGGGGGCCCCCTTCCTCGCCACGGCCCCGGACGCGGCTCGGGTCAAACTCGCGCGTCCGGATCCCTGGGGAGGGGTCCAGGGACCGACCTGGAGGTCCGGCCCGTCCCTCTCCAGGAGGAGTGCTCGGAGCAGGGCAAACAGCAGCTCTTCGGGCCCGTGTTGAGAGACCATGTCTGCGCATGTTTTGTCGCATGTCCTGGACGAAAGAAACCGAACAGTTTGGTTTCTGTCGTCCAGAACTGCTCTGTGGGGGACATGCCCGACCTACACCGACCTGGAGCTGCGGTCGTCTCCGCGTCGCCCTGCTCCGAGGGAGGAGCGCCGCCTCGGGCTCCGAGGAGGAGGAGGAGGAGGAGGAGGAGGAGGAGGAGGAGGAGGCGGAGGAGGAGGAGGAGGAGGGGGCGGAGGAGGAGGAGGCGGAGGAGGAGGAGGAGGAGGAGGAGGCGGAGGAGGAGGAGGCCGGGATCTGGCTCTCTGGTCCTCGGGGCCGCGCCGCAGGGCCGCCGCTCGCGGCGCGTCTATCGCGAGTCCGACGCTCGCCCGAGGCAGTGGGGCGCCCTCTCGCGTGCCCGAGCCGTTGTGCCTCGCGGTGGCGCCACGGCTGCATCCGGTCGAGGTCCCGTGCGCCCTTCCCCGCTCGTGTTATGTCGGGCCTGTCCCCCTGCAGGGGGATTTTTGGCGAAACATAAAATTCAAAAAAAAAAAAAAAAAACCAAAGAAATATCCCAAAAAGGTCAAACGCTATTCAAAAAGTAGTCCCCAGAGATTATGTTTGGTGTATTTTTCATTTTTCGTCGAAAATTCCCCTGTAGGGGGACAGGCCCGACTTAACGCTCGTGCCGATCTTCTCTGCGGCTCCCCTCTCTGCCGCCGAGCTTCTGGTGGCTCTTCTTGTTCCTCGCCGCGTCCCCTCCCCCCCTGCCGTCTTCCGTCCCTCCTCGGCGCATGCTTCCACTCTGCCAGCTGGCCGGTCGAAAGCAACTCGATCCAGGGCTTCTCCTTCTAGCCACCGCGGAATACTGCAGAGTCAACGCTCGTTCGCTTCACCATGAGCTTTCTGCCGCCGACGTTGCAAGATGCTTGGCAGGAGTGGGGCGCATCGCACCTCGTGCGGGAAACGGCGAAACTTTGCTCTCGCCTCGTCGCTGCAGCTGCGCGCCCGCTCGTCGACGCGGCTCCCACTCGTCGGCAGAGGGGCCGCGTGCGGGCGGTCGGAGCGTCGCGCTCGCCCGAGCGCCACCCGGGGATTTCGCCTCGAGAGTGGCGCTTCGCGTGGGCGTGGTGTCGGCAACACCCAAACATACTTATACTACATGTGCGTCGCCCCCCCAGGGGCGACGCGCGCACCGAGAAATCTTATAGTATATGCGTCGTGGCGGGCGCTTCCTGGCCACACCGCTCGGGAAACGATATACTACAAGATGGGTATACTATATGTTCGGGTCGGACGCGCGCGTCCCATGGTGCAGAGTCTCCGCTCGCCCAGCCGTCGGCAGCGGGGTCGGGCGACCTGTCGCCGTCGCTCGAGCGCAGCGCAGAGTTCGCCCGAGAGTCGCTCGCCGCTCTGGCGCGGCGGATGCTCTGCCCTCGCCGCGCGCGAGCGGGCTGAAGGGTGCCCTCGCCGGAACGCTGCTCCGGGGTTTCTCGAGATCCCCGCTCTCGCCCGTGCGCGTCACGTCGTCGGAAGCGGCGCCGTGCGCGCGATCGCATTTCGCTTGCCAGGTGGGAGAGCGCGCGCGTCCAAATTGCAGTGTCTCTGATGTCGTGAGAGGGGTCTATGGGAGTGGGCTGGTCCTTCCGACCCGCCCCCCGTCCCCGTCCCCCTCTCCCTCTCTGCCAGCATCTGCCCTTCGCCCGGCTTTGCTCAGGTGTGCGGCCTACTTTGTGAGCAGCTTGTCCTTCTTTTTCTACTCCACGGTCTCGTGGTCCGTCCCGACGCTGCTGCCGTGGGTGGAGCTCCTCGCCTAGGGGAAATTGGGACCGGCACGACGAGGAGGAGGAGGAGGAGGACGAGGGGCAGCAGGAGGAGGAGGAGGAGGAGGAGGAGGAGGAAGATGAGCATGGATGGATGGATAGATGGTTGGGTGGATGCACGGATGGAAGCAGGGGAGGCAGATCAGCTGCCGTCGATTTCTGGCAGCAGTTGCTTGACATCGTCCCCGCTCGTGTCGGGCGACGAGATCAGCACGCACTCACCTCCCCAGGCCAGGCCCACGCTGGGTGCAGGATCGGCACTGTGCCTCCACGGCCCAGCCACTGGGGGACGTGCGCGCCGCTGTTCCGGGCCCGAGGTGCGCCCGGCCGGGGGCGGTGGGCGCTCTGGGCTTGGCCCGAGCCAGGGAGAGCCGTCGGGGCTCCACGGCAGGGGCCGGGAAGAGCAGTCCAAGCCGGAGCAGTGGACCTGGCGCAGAGCGATGAGTTTGTTTTACACCACCACCACCACCACCATAAGTTGGAGGGGGGAAGGAGGAGGGCGAGGAGGAGAAGGAGGACGAAGAGGAGGAGGAGGAGGAGGAGGAGGAGGAGGAGGAGGAGGAGGCGGAGGAGGACCCCCCCTCCAACTTCTGGTGGTGGTGGTGGAAAACAAGCCCATCACAGAGGAGTCGGCGGCAAGAGGTACAATCGTTAATCAGTTGTTTATGATCGAAGACGCTTACGGCGAAGCACCGCCGCCCCCCCCTGCGTTTCGGGACCGCCCGAGTGCCCGAGCGTGATGGTCGGAGCTCTGCCAAGCTATCGGACCATGTGTTCCCCAGCCGTTCTGGGCCGCCCTCGGGGAGCACGCAGGGGAGAGAGAAGACGCGGAGAAGAAGGAGGAAGATCGAGAGGAGGAGGAGGAGGAGGAGGAGGAGGAGGAGGAGGAGGAGGAGCAGGAGGAGCAGGAGGAGCAGGAGAAGCAGGAGGAGGAGGAGGGGGAGGATGTAGGAGGCTGAAGGGAAGGAGGAGGAGGAGGAGGAGGAGGAGGAGGAGGAGGAGGAGACCTCGTGAGAGTCTCTTGGGGCACTCTTGGGGTCTCCTGGGAGCTTCCTGGGAGCCTCTTGGAGGCCTCCTGGGGTCTCCTTCGGCCTCTTGGGGGCTTTGGGGGCTTGTTCGGGGCCTCTTTGGCAGTCCTAAGTAGGGCGTTCCTGAGCCGGCCGACGCAGTCGGGAGTCGTCTTGGGGGCCTCTCTTGGCGCCTCGGGGCTCTCTTCGAGTGCTTCAGCAAGGGCGCCCTCGAGGGCGCGAAGTTATTCGCGCTTCGCGCTTCGCGGTTCGGCTCCGATTCCTCCTCGTCCTCCTCTTCTCCCCTGGGAGGCGGCGCGAGAGGGCGAAGTTATTCGCACTTCGCGCTTCGCGCAGCGCGAAGCGCGAAGTTGGGAGCCCTTATTCAGGGCCGTCTTGGAGACCATCTTGGCAGTCAGGGAGGCCTCTTGGGCCTTCTTTGGCCCTCCTCTGGGCCGTCTTGGGGGCGTCTCGGGCCGTCCTGGGGCCATAATGGAGACCTCTTGGGCGCTGTAGGGGCGATCTGAGTCTCTTTGGTCGTCTTGGGCCGTCGGAAGGCCGACAAGAAGCGAATGCCATGATCTGTGAGAAACCGATGGGACATCATTTTGGCATGTTCAGGCCCTCCTGAAGCATCTCTTGGAGGGCTCTTGGGCCGTCTTGGATGCCTGTTGGGGGCCTCAGGGGCCGTCTTGGAGGCTTTCTTGGGCGAATTTGGATGCATCTTGGACTCTCTGAGGCAGTTTTGGAGGCCATCTTGGACCATCTTGAGCGAATTTGGGGGCCATCTTGGTCGTCTTGGAGGCCATCTTGTGCCATGTTGGAGTCAAGTGGGGCAGAAACAACCTTTGCAACCAGGTCTTCCAGGTGGCCAGCGCGCTGTGCCGAAGGCCCAGGTGGAGTCTTCAAAAGAACCAACACCCTTTTCAGAACGTACAGAATGCCGGGCACCCCTGTGGCAAGCCAACAGGCGGCGGCGGATCGAAGACGCTTACGGCGAATCACCGCCGCCCCCCGCCTTCGAGAATCGCTCATGTGGCCGAGGGTTGTGGCAAAAGCTCTGCCAAGGTATCGGGCCATGTGCTCCCCCAACCATTGTGGTAACCCTTCGGGGAACACTTGGCGGAGGACGGCGGGAAAGATCAAGAGGAGGAGGAGGAGGAGGAGGAGGAGGAGGAGGAGGAGGAGGAGGAGGAGGAGGCGGAGGAGGAGGAGGAGGAGGAGGAGGAGGAGGAGGGGGCATCTTGGGAGCCTCTGGGGACACTCTTGGGGCCTCCTGGAAGCTTCCTGGGAGCCTCTTGGACCTTTAGGGGCTTCTCGGGAGCCTCTTCGGCCGTCTTGGTTGGCTCCTGGCCCGCCTGACGCCGTCGGAAGCCGTCTTGGGGGCCTCTGTGGGCCGACTTGGGGCTTTCTTGGGGTGCTCCAGGGCCGTCTTGGAGACCATCTTGAGCGTCTTGGAGGCCTCTTGGGCCGTCTTGGGGGCCTCTTGGGGCCGTCTTGGGGGCCTCGTGGGCCGTTCTGGGGCCATACTGGTGACCTCTTGGGCGATCTTTGGGGGCTCTTGGGAAGGCCGAAAAAAAAGCAAATGCCACAGTCCTTCAACAACTCATGGGAAATCAATAATTGTAGCCTTTTCGGGCCTTCCTGGAGGCCCTCTTGGAGGCCCCTTGGAGGCCTCTTGGGCCATCTTAAGGCCATCTTGGAGGCCTCTTGGAGGCCTCTTGTCGCCGTTTGTGGCCCCATACTGTCCTACGTGGCCCAGTTGCTACCCTCAGTGGCCCCATCGTTGCCTTCTGTGGCCCTGCATTATCTGCGCTTCGTGGCCCCTGCTCGTTCGCGCTCTTCATGGCCCCATATGCATTCCCTTCGTGTCCTCGCTGTCGCCCTTCGTGGCCTGCTTCGTGTCCTTCGTGGTCTCGCTTTCGCTCGTCGTCGCCGTCGTCGTCGTCGTCGTCGCCGTCGACGTCGTCGTCGTGGTCGGTCCCCTGTCCGTCCCTCTTGGGGTCGGGTCGACGGTCCGCGGCCGCCCCGCCGATCAGCGCTGCCGCTTACCAGGCCGACGGTCCGCGGCCGCCCCGCCGCTTGCCGGAGCCCGGCCTGCAGGGAAGAAAGGTATACCCCCCAAAAGGGGTTCGATCGAAGACGAAGAGGGCGGGTATCGAGGGTTTGGGAAATACGCGTTATTGGACACTCGAGCAGATAAGGGCGAACAGTATGTTTGTTGTTGTTGTTGTTGTTGTTGTGTGTTGTTGTGTGTTGTGGTTGTTGTTGTGTTGTTGTTGTTGTAGTTGTGGTGGTGTTGTTGTTGAACATTATTTCTTCTAAGAATAATTATTGTTGGGGCCCCTGGTGCACGACCCCCCCGCCGCGCCTAGGCCGCAGCCACATTTTCATCATTTTCGTGAGGAAGTCTCAGGCAAAACGGGTTGGTCCGGATCCGGTTGTTTTGTTACGGCCCGCTTCCCTTGCAAAAAATAAGCTAAAGTGGACATTTCTTGTTCTAACATAACCAAACTTCAAGAATCCCTTGCAAACAAATCAAGTAAAGTGGACATTCGCGCGCGCAAGACGAAATCCTTCCAAAACCTTAGTTTTCGTAGCGATTTTAACATAAAAACATCAAAAAACCAATGTTTTTTTTTAAAAAAAAATGTCAAAATTTCATCCCGCGCGCTCTTGCGGATTCGTAGGAAACCCAACACTTTTTAAACATTTCTGTCAAACGGGCTTTTGCGAGCAACTTTTTCGAACTTCTGCAACAACGGTTGCGCACCTGCCAGGGCCATCATCCCTGTCAAATAATACCATGCGGGACACATTCGTTTTTTCTTCGCGCGCGCACGCCGTCGTCGTCGGCCGCGGGGCCCTGAATAGTAGCCACGGTCGTCCGCATGCCACGAAGTGAAGTGTCCGAACGTCATAGGGCGGGAAGCTGGGTGTGGGTGGTGGCGAAGAGTCGTTTGGAAATTTGGTAGAGCTTGAACCGGCCCCCCCACAAAGTGGGGGTATTGCCCGCCTCCTATGAAAACCCTGGCACTGGTGAGAACGGAGTGTCCCCACGTGCTAGTAATTGTTGTTGTTGTTGTTGTTGTTGTGGTTGTGGTTGTTGTTGTTGTTGTTGTTGTTGTTGCTGTTGTTGTTGTTGTTGGTGCTGTTGGTGCTGTTGTTGCTGTTGTTGTTGGTGTTGTTGTTGGTGTTGTTGTAGTTGTCGTTGTGGTTGTTGTTGTTGCTGCTGCTGTTGTTATTATTGTTGTTGTGGCTGTTGTTGCTGTTGTCGCTGTTGTTGTAGTGGTTGCTGCTGCTGTTGTTGTTGTTGTTGTTGTTGTTGTGGTTGTTGTTGTTGCTGTTGAATTTTCATGTCAGACGAATAGTTGTTGTTGATCCCCACACCGGTGCGTACTGTTTTTTCTCGATCAAAGTGTGCCCCTCGACGCTCGCACCCTGTTTTTTGGACAGGGAAAGTCTTGATGCTCAAACTGGGACCCTGGCCCCCGGGTTACAACAACAACGGCTCCCGCTTAAGACTTCCTCCCAATTTAGCCAGTACCCCCGCTCCCGCCCGAGACCCCCTCGCATGTTATTCAGGGATCGCGCTCTCGCTTGGGACTTCCTTACAATTTATTCAGGAATCGCCCTCCCGGCGCTCTGGAGTCGCGCTCTCGCTGGAGACTTGCTTGCAACTTACCGAAGAATGGCCTTGCGTTGGAATTTCTTGCAATTTGCCCAAGCGCCGCGCTCCCGACACCCAGGCAGCCAGGAATCGCGCCTGTTGTGGCCCCATGTGCATGCCCTTCGTGGCCCCGCTGTCGCCATTTGTGTCCCCCATCACTGTCCTACGTGGCCCAGTTCCTACCCTCAGTGGCCCCATAGTTGCCTTCTGTGGCCCCGCATTATCTGCACTTCGTGGCCCCCGCTCGTTCGCGCTCTTCGTGGCCTGATACGCATTCCCTTCGTGTCCCCGCTGTCGCCCTTCGTGGCCTACTTCGTGCCCTTCGTGGCCCTGCTGTCGTTCTCTCTCGCTCTCGCTTTCGCTCGTCGTCGCCGTCGTCGTCGTCGTCGCCGTCGTCTTCGACGTCGTCGTCGTCGTCGTCGTCGTCGTCGTCGTCGTCGTCGTCGTCGTCGTGGTCGGTCCCCTGTCCGTCCCTCTTGGGGTCGGGTCGACGGTCCGCGGCCGCCCCGCCGATCAGCGCTGCCGCTGGCCAGGCCGACGGTCCGAGGCCGCCCCGCCGCTTGCCGGGGCCCGGCCTGCAGGGAAGAAATGTATACCCCCCAAAAGGGGTTCGACCGAAGACGAAGAGGGCGGGTATCGAGGGTTTGGGAAATACGCGTTATTGGACACTCGAGCAGATAAGGGCGAACAGTATGTGTGTTGTTGTTGTTGTTGTTGTTGTTGTTGTTTGTTGTTGTTGTTTGTTGTTGTTGTTGTTGCTGGTTGTTGTTGTTGTTGTTGTTGCTGTTGTTGTTGTTGAACATTATTACTTCTAAAAAATAATTATTGTTGGGGCCCCTGGTGCGCGGCCCCCTCGCCGCGCCTAGGCCGCAGCCATGTTTTCATCATTTTCGTGAGGAAGTCTCGGCAAAACGGGTTGGTCCGGATCCGGTTGTTTTGTTACGGGCGGTTTTCCCTTGCAAAAAATAAGGCAAAGTGGACATTTCTTGTTCTAACATAACCAAACTTCAAGAATCCCTTGCAAAAAATAAGGTAAAGTGGACATTCGCGCGCGCAAGACGAAATCCTTCCAAAACCTTAGTGTTCGTAGCGATTTTAACATAAAAACATCAAAAACCAATGGTTTTTCAAAAAAAAGTGTCAAACTTTCATCCCGCGCGCTCTTGCGGATTTGTAGGAAACCCAACACTTTTTAAACATTTCTGTCAAACGGGCTTTTGCGAGCAACTTTTTCACGTGCTTCGAACTTCTCCAACAACGGTTGCGCACCTGCCAGGGCCATCATCCCTGTCAAATAATACCATGCGGGACACATTCGTTTTTTCTTCGCGCTCGCACGCCGAAATCTTCAAAAACCATTGGGTTTCTTAGGAATTTTAGCACCGCGCAACATAAAATCATACGAATCGTACCGTAGGTCCTCGAAAAACATCTGTACGAATTTTCAAAATTTCTACCCGCGCGCGCTGTCCGAATCCTAAAAATCCAATGGTTTTTTTTTTCAACATTTATGTTACATGAGCTCCAGTGTCCAGTGTTGGAACAGGGGGAAGAGTCGTATACTAAGCTAGCGTCCAGAAGATGTTACCACAACAAGTCACTGTACCCATGCGCCAGTGTAGTAGCCACGGTCGTCCGCAGGCCACGAAGTGAAGTGTCCGAACGTCATAGGGCGGGAAGCTGGGTGTGGGTGGTGGCGAAGAGTCGTTTGGAAATGTGGTAGAGCTTGAACCGGCCCCCCCACAAAGTGGGGGTATTGGCGGGCGTCGTATGAAAACCCTTGGCACTGGTGAGAACGGAGTGTCCCCACGTGCTAGTAATTGTTGTTGTTGTTGTTGTTGTTGTTGTTGTTGTTGTTGTTGTTGTTGTTGTTGTTGTTTGTTGTCGTCGTCCCACCCGCGACCCACCCCGCGACCCACCCCGCGACCCAACCCACCCCGCGGCCCACACTGCGACCCACCCACGACCCACCCGCAACCCACCCCGCAACCCACCCGCGACCCACCCCCACCCCGCGACCCACCCGCGACCCACCGCGCGACCCACCCGCGACCCACCCTCAAGGGAGGAAAAACAACCCGGACCCGACGATTGACGTGGACGAAACGGCCTTGGGCGATTACTAAACAGCCTTGCCCTGTTCGATTCATTCCTTGCGTGCGTTTGCTAAACGGCTTCGCTTGCCGGCGTAATTATTATGGGACGGATTTTCTGCCCTCTACACACGGACCAAACAGCGACCCACCCGTGACCCACCCGCGACCTACCCACATTGGTTTAACGGAAAAATCGGCACTTGCGGCGGGTTCATTGTATAATGTATGAAACTATGGCGCCTGCGGCGGGCTTCTCCAGAGTCTCGCAAACTGCTGACGTCCCCACCGCCAGCTCACTCTTATCCGCATCTGCGGGGTGCTACGTAGATACTCTTGGATTTCCAAGTTTCAATCTACTTTGAGCGCCTTCCTACTTCAATGCTCGAGTGGCTCCACCTTTTCCGCCCTCCTCGGGGGGCGGACGGAACCCAATCTGCTTTCAACGCCTTCCTACTTCATGTTTCTACCTGCTCCTCCCGACCGATGGGTATGCCGTCTTTTGTTCCTCGAGGTCTGCCCTGCGAATGCAATGCATATGTTCGTTGTTCTCTCTCTCTCTCTCCTCCTCCTCCTCCTCCTCCTCCTCCTCCTCCTCTGCCTATTGTCCTGTTTAGCAGGCGCACTGGCTGTGAGAGCTTGAGTTCAGACTTTTCCCGCCTGCGTGCCGGACGGCGTATGGCCTCGTGCTCGTGCTCGAGGTCTGCCCTCCCTTCGCCCCCTCCCCGCGCTCGCAGCCGCCGCGCCGCGACCAAGGTTCGTCGTGGAGCCGCTCGGCGGCGTCCTGTGCGCCGGCTTCGCGCTGGTGCGGTCGCTCGTGGTCGTCATCCGCGGGGTGCCCGCCCGCGGCGATCGCCTCCCCCCTCGGAGTCGGCACCGTCTGACCCATCCCCATCCCCATCCTCAGCCCCATCCCCTTCGAGACCCCCACGAAATGACCACCCCAGGTGGGGATACACACCTCGAAGCCCGAAGGGAACCACCTAGATCCCCACCTGGGCGGGTGAATCGGCCAGTGGGGCCCCGGCCACGCCGCTGGGGATGGGGATCGGTCAAACAGGATGCAGAGGAGGATGCAGATAGCGCTGTTAGTTCTGGAGGGCCTCTCCTGATGGGCCGGATTTTGCACCACCGCTACCAGAGGTAGGAGAGGCAGGAGGAGGAGGAGGAGGAGGAGGAGGAGGAGGAGGAGGAGCAGCAGGAGAAGGAGGAGGAGGAGGAGGAGGAGGAGGAGGAGGAGCAGCAGGAGGCGGAGGAGGAGGAGGAGGTGGAGGACCTCCGCATCCTCCCTTCTCCCCCGTCCTGCCCAGGGTGGCAGCGGTGGGAAACTGGCTCCCCCTCTCCCCAGACCCTCTCGCGGCGTGGAAAAGTTCGGATGGAAGGTCTGGCCTTTGGGGGCCCTCGCCAGGCCCCAGGACCGTCAAACGACTGTTCAGGATGGAGAGCCGGTCCCAGGCAATGAGTCGAGACCTCCAGGTGTCCACCTCCCTTTTAGATCCCAGCGTTTTCCCCAGATCTCGGCCTCTGGGGGCCGCTATCCGGCCCCAGGACAATCAAACATGGATCCGGGTCGAAGAACTACCCCTGGCGACGATAGCCTCCTCTCAGATGTGGAAGCCGATGCTACTGATCGTTCGGCAGAGCGCGCCGTCGCGGGTTTTGAACCAGGGCTTGCGCGGGTCGCGGCCATCCTTGGGAGTTTTGCGCTCCAAGAAGCATATTTCGTGTAGTTGAAGTGGAGGTCTCTGGAGCCTTGAACATTTCTATTGGAAGAGTGCTCTCGACATTGGGCAAATTTACGGTTCGATCGAATGGGCGAATTTGGCCCAGTGCGCGCTACGCCTGGGTTTTCCGAGTGCCATCCTTTAGTGAGAACTGCTGCGGCGTGTAGGTCCCAGGACTCTGGGACAAGTGTCAGTCAATTGTCCAGGGGCCTCGGGGGGAGGTGCCAGATTTGCTCGTTGCCTGGTCTACTTTCTCTTACAAGCCGTCACCACGGTGCGTTGGGACTTGGGGTCCAGGATCTGGATTGACGACTTATCCCAGCGGGTTTTTTGCATCCAGGGTTCAGGTTCGGAAACGCATCGCGGATGGACTTTTAAACGCGCGCCGGGGCATCGAGGCGCAGGATTTTCGAGTTTCGCCCAGGTGTTTCCTTCTATGTTCAATGGTTGTGGACGCCGAACATGTCGCGCGGCAATTTACTCGAGCAGGCTGTTCAGTGTCAGCTGTTCTGCAGGCTCTTTATCTGGGGGCGGATCTTGCGGGAGGTGGGCGACATGCGCGAGCGAGCAAAGTTAAACGAGTAGTTAGCTAAAGCTGCATTCATGCATGGCAATGTGCTGAGGTGCGCGCGAACTGCTCGTAATTATCGCACCACTGCGAAGCTGCACAGAGCGGGCACTTTTGCAGCGCAGCTTTAGGCTGACGAGATACACGGAGTTATTGGGGCGGCCAAGCTTCGCTGTCGCGGGCAAACGGGCGCAGACTGCGGGGCTGGCAAGCGAGGGCGCTGTTCATCTACTCTGTTAGATCCTCGTGCGCCAAGGGGGATCCATCTGTTACATATCTCGCGACATGTGCGGCCCGGGCGACGCCTGCAGATGTTGCGCCGAACTTGCAAGGATAATAACAGCAGCGCATGCTGCGTCTGATCATTGGACAATGGAGGCGCCGCACTGATTTCGAGCCATGGGCGGATGGGATAAAGCAAGCAACGCGCGCAGCCGAGACGACAGCGGAGAACGCGCGTGCAATTCGATTGGCGGACGTTCGCGCAACGAATCTCGCAATTGAAGTGGGCAAAGCGCGCGCGAGGGCTGGACAGGGAGAGGCGGGCGCGAGTTGTCGCTGGTTGGGGGTCGCAGCGCATGGTGGAGTAGAATTTGGCTAGACCGCAGGGTAGACCCAAATGCCGGTGGGCAGGCGTTATTCAGCATTTTCCAACGGACGCACGATTGCAGGAATCATGGTTGGGCGTTTCAGGACATTTGGGCGGTTTGGAGGAGAGTCTCACGCAGTGCAAGATCACGCGAGGGCTACCGCTCCTGCGCCCCACCTCTTCCCGGCCGCCAGCTGGGCGAAGCGCGCGTTCGCTTTCGCTGTCGCGGCACGCGTGAACTTGGCTGCGACAGTGGATTACTGACCCTTCATTTAGGCCAGGCATTCGCGGAGCATGGCGTATTTTGTTGGATCGATTGCGGCTTGCGGTTCCTGGGCAGCGTTCGGGGCATGGCCGAGGAGCATTTGGAGCGGTTAGTTTGTCTTTCCTGGAAGCGGGCGGGGATCCTGAGGCGCCAGGGCGGAGTGGATAGTCCCTCATGTGGTCATCTCCTGAGCCAGCTTCGATCGGTCAGGCATGGCGAGCGACTGTCAGCTGATGTCCACCACTGCCATAATCAAAGA